CCCCCGCCACCCCCTAATCAGTAAAAATCTTCAAAGAGAAATAATTACCCTCAACTCTTCAAGGATAAACAACAATTGTCTCGCAATTCTCGGCTGATGATAAAATCACTGAAATTAATTTTCCCCTGTGCAATTGGATCGCTGTTGCATTTAGAGCATTAGATCTGCTCGCGAATCAGCGAGTTTTATCTTTCAAATGCGAGTGCCTAGAATCATTTATTAGCCCTCCACCCATTATTCACGTTATCCTTTTTTTTCAGAATTCTTTCATTTTAATTTGCCATTGCAAAACTGTTAGTATCTTTTTCCCCACTTTCACTTGGCGAAGTCGTCTCGTTAATTGCAGTGGAATCGTGCGAGAGACATCGAAAATCATGTCGGGGGGTTTTATTCAGTGTCGTGCGATTAATTTTCATGGGAGACTCTCACCTCAACGGGGGAATTAATTCATTTCCGTATTTGAAGATGAGAATGATCATTAGGTCGATGGAAATTACTCGTGATATTGTTTTTTTATTTGTTTGAAAATAACTTTGGAACGAAGAAGTTTAGGGGAAAATGTCACGAGACATTTTTTGTAGACAATTTCATGGACTACAAAAAGTTCATGTGATATTTTTCGATAAATCCAATAGTTTCAGAGATAAAATAATCAGAATTAAATTTTTCACCTAAAAAATTATGCATTATTTTTTATGAGGAATTTCTCGGGATCGCTAGAGTGAAATTAGAAGAAATTGATGCCGTTTTCAAGATATTTTTTCAACCTTAAAATCTAGACCGAATGCACCGAACGGATCATCCACTCATCAGTTTATATCAATATGAAAAAAAAATAATCAGAATCCGGAGAAATGAATTGGAACTTCCATTTCCTGAGCCAAAATAAATAAAATACCCATCCGATGAAATTCAATTTCCTCTCTCCACATCCATTAAATCAGAGTAACACCTGCAATTCTCCCATTTTTCAATTACAAATAGGATTCAATGTATCGAAAATTGAAATATGAGTAGAACGTATAGGCGAAAAATACCCGGTTATTACCCCGTTGGCGAACGACTCCAGTGAGTGCAGGATAGCTTTCAGCTTCCATTTTCCATCCCCCCAGCTTCATAACAAGAAATACGATAACGTTCGAAATCCTCTCAGCCCAGTCCACCCATCTTTCCGATAGTAGAGGGCTACTATGTGTTATCTAACTCACGCACAACATTCACATGTCGTTTATTCTTCGATATTTCATACTATTTTATTTTTACTCTGAGTTTTTACTCTTTAATCGTCAATTCCGCGGGACATTCTCATCTCTCTTTCAACCGTTGACTCCAATAAAATAGAATTATGCAGATAAAATAGTTCAATCATTTTTTTATTCCCACGAAATTTTTATACCTTAAACTATAATATTTATCAGACTTGAAATTCAGATAACTTTTTATTCATTAATTCCACGAGACACTCTCATCTATTTTTCAACCATTAACTTCAATCAAATAGAATTATACAGATAAAATAGTTCAATATTTTTTTTATTCCTCTGGAATTTTCATAAATTAAACCATAATTTTTCCCACACTTGAACCCCCGAGAATTCCATCGACATGACTAAACCCTTTGTTTCATTCATCACATTTAACCCATTACTAATCCATGAGTCATCCAATTACAATCACACTCCTCATTCCCTCTCGCAATCTCAACAAAAAATCATTAAAACCATACAGCCCATTTTATTTAATCAACCCCAGCATTTCATCATCACAATAAACTCCAGTCTCCGTCATAAAACCTCTCTCTCCTCCCACCCCCCACAAAAAAAACTAGTTATAAAAATTCAATTGCTTGGTGAACAAACTTTTGTTTACAAGCGAAGGAAAAAAAAATCGAATAGAGAAGAGGGAATGAAAGTGCAGTCGCAGCGATGATACTGTGGTTTGTTGGGTTTTCGAAGGCCAATGTTGGTGTGTACATGAGGATAATGTCGGGGGAGGAGAAGAGGAAGGATCTCCCCACCCAGACGATCAATAGGTGCGCCCAGGTTTTCCCTCAAAGGAAAAATTCCTGACGCTATTAAATCCAATTTAGAGAACTTTTATTCCCCATCCCTTCCCTCCTCTCTATAATTTTTTTCATCCCCCCCTCGTTTCTTTTTACCTTCTTCAACAAATTTATTTTTCCTTCACTTTCCTTCCTCCGCCCCCGGCCCCTTCCCCACCGCAACGAAACCTTTGAGAAGAACGGCCCGAATAAATTGGTAAAAGGATTTTGAACAATATAACGCTATCTATCATCCACGTGGGTGGATCTACGAGGGGTTCTTGAATTCTTTGATTCGACTTTCATGTTATCCGCGCATTTTTATCCTCTATTTTTCCGACAGACACTCCAACATTTTTTGGATCGAATAAATGAATTTGAGAGTTTTTTGAGTAATTAGTTTTATTAACTCATTTTTTTCATTTTCTTTCCATTTCTTATGGTTGAAAACAGAAAATTATGGCGAAGGGTTTTATTCAGTGTTTTGCGATTAATTTTCATTGGAGACTCACTTAATCGGTGGCTTTAATTTGTTGTCGGATGAAGATGAGAATGATCATTAAATTGGAAATTATTCGAATACTGTAGTTTGATTTTTTTTTTTTTTTTGTAAAAATGTTCTTGAACTATATAACGCTACCCATGTATTTTTATCCTCTATTTTTCCGACAGACACCCCAAAATTTTTTAGATCGGTTGAAGGAATTTGAGGATTTTTTGAGTAATTAATTTTATTAATTCATTTTTTTATTTTCTTCCCATTTCTTATAGTTAAAAACATGATAAATCATGGCGGAGGGTTTTATTCAGTGTCTTCCGATTAATTTTCATGGGAGGCTCTCACTTCAGCGGTGGATTTAATTCGCTTTCGTATTTGCATTTGTATTTACATTGGAAATTATTCGAATACTAAAGTTTGAAAATAATTTTTTTTAGGGAAAAATTTTCTTAAATTATGTAACGCTACCCATGTATTTTTATCCTCTATTTTCACCACAAGAACTCCAACATTTTTGAGATCTGTTGAACGAATTCAAGAGTTTGTTGAGAAATTAGTTTTATTCATTGATTTGTTTTATTTATTTTTTTGCAGACGTTTCACACACCGAGTTTTGGAGATGAGGATTTCGACATTCCTGCCATTCACCCACATCAGCAGCATCAACAGCATCACCCGCAGCAGCATGACCCCATGCATGGCTACCAGTCACAGGTGAACCCCATTTTTTTTTCCAAAATACATTTTTAAGAAGATTTTTAGCACAAAAATGGAGAGATATCGAGGAAAAGAGGATGAAAAATTGAAAACGTGACACAAAAGTGGCAATCACTCGTCGAGAGCCATCGATCTCCATCAAGCCGTCACCCTTCCACCTCTCCATGCCCACAATATTCCCCCATTTTTCATGTCTCACGTGCAATTCTCTCTTTACGTACTTCACCTCATCCTTTGATCGACGATTCCCCAGATCGTGAATACAAAATCTCGGGGCTCTATCGTATCCTGGAACGCTAGACCATGGCCAAACAAGATTTAAAAAAAAACACGGTATTCTCAACGGGAGTCTTTCACAACTGTGGAAACATAAATTTCAGATATCCCACGATTCTCCATTTTTAACATTTTCTCGGCTTTTTTTTTCCTCCTCGCTCAACCCGGGAGCTAATTATATTTATCTCCTCTCATTTTTTCTCCCGCAAAGGTGCATGAATTATGTTTCACGGGAGTTGACTCGAAAATATTAGATAATTAACTTCTAAAAATGGAGTAAAGAACCTTTTATTCATTTATAATGGTGGAAAAAATTGAAATTTCATGGACAGTTGATTGGTAATTTTCAGGAGAATGGAATTTCATTCAATTTAGAGAAAAAATGAAAAACTTTCATATTTTAATGAAAATTTGATGGAACTCCAATTTTTAAAACAGGAAGAAGACGAGAATTTCCGAACTTACTAGAATTTTCAATTTATTGGAAATTTCACAATATATTAACCTGAATTTTTCTGATTTCTATTCATTTAAATGAAATAATTGAACTAAAATTTACAATTTTTACTGTTTTTTCCATAAAATTTTCAATAAAAATTTACAATTTTAATTCATTTTTCCAGAAATTTTTCGATGATGAAAAATCCTCAACATTCTTTTTCTTTCCGAAAAAAAATTTGCTTGGAATTTTGAACCCACATAAAACAATATGTTTATTTTCCTTGAAGTAAAATACCAGACACAAATGAAAAAAATATTAATAAATGTACAATTGCCCCCTCAAAAAAATATTTTTACACTCTCCAAAAACTAATATCATATTTATTCTAGATGATGCAAGCCGGTGGTATGCAGCAGTCGCCAGACGCTCTGAGCCTGGACCCGGGTGGGTACCAGCAGCCCCTCTACCTGCAGCAGGAACACACGATGCAGCCAATCAACGTCAGGTGAGTTATACGACCCTCAGCCCCCAAGTGACGAAGGACTTCTCCCCCCCATCCCCTTCCCACCTATCATCCATCTTTTTTCTTTCATCCAAAAAGATAATTACCGGGTGCTGTGCGCGTTAATTGGCGCGGCGATTGGTCGGTAAGTCACGCTCGGACGTCCTCTCTGATAGGTTTACCACCTTAATGAACCCGAGTCGTTAAATAATGTATCAACGATTTTAGGGTGAAATCGTTAAAGACCCTCTGGAAGCTGGAACAATTTGTTCCAAGCAAAACTATCTCATCAAATCGCCGAGATTGTTCATCATTTTCAAAGGCATTACACGTATTATCTGGACCAAACCATCACTCTAGCATTAAAAAAAAAAAAGCGAAGCGAAGTAATCTTGAAAATCCAAACGCTATTAAATCGACAAGTCCCATCAATTTCTCAACGTCTCGACCAAAGTAACCCCATAACGTTTCGCTCGTAGCCACGTCTGAATGATCAATTCCCGTCCCTTTATTTCCCTGAATGTGGTTTATTATGACGCAATCATACTCACTCATCTCCTGACACTGTAAAATGCCTCGCTGCCTCGTTACCCTCCCTCCACCCAACTACACACATTCATTTCCCTTATTTTGTTTTTATTAACCCCTGTTTAATGTCATAATTAATGCCAGAAACGGAAGTTAGAAAAAGGGAACGAAAAATCCCATTAAAATGCGTGGAATTCTCCATTTTTTTTCCATCAAAGTTGAGTTGAACGACCGCGGGTAGAATGCATTTATTCAACTTGGGGGATGCAATAAATACGACAGGATGCCAAACGCAATGGATATATACCTTGAGGACGGCTGTCAGACAATCTCAAAACCCAGTTGCATCATTTCCATTGGGTAAATGAAATGCCAGTGTTTCTGAACGATGAAAAAAAAAGAGATGATCGTAAAAAATGAGATAACCTGTCAGAACATGTCCGCCATTTGCCTGTGAATATTTCCACCATTTTACCAACTCACCTCAGCACACGATGAGTTGTTGCCTCGTGCCTCTGACTAGAATATTTTGCAATGACATAAAACATTTCTTCGTGCATATAACGAAGCGTCTCAAGCCCTTCTTCTACGGGTGTATCTGACGAAACGTTATAGACTGTTGAAAAGTGGGGGAACAAAGGAGTTTTACAGCGAGGTCAGAGCCAGGCTGAAAATAGAGCGGAGGAACCTGTTTCGTGTACAATGAACCGATCGTTTAGCTTCTTTTTCTCTCCCTTCTTCGTATATATTATTTTTTTTAACCACACGGGGGGATACAGCATCCAAGGTGGTTTCATCAAACATCCCCTTATTTGCATAAACCTGTCAACACGACATTTATAATTAACGGATGAATGTCGTTTCGAGACTGGAAAAGATGGCTATCGCAAATGTCTCAATCACGACATTCATGATTTTCATGAGTGAGAGAGTAGAGAAAAAGTGTCGATTTATCACACGAGATTTCTACTTCTAATGATGATCGTAAATAGGTTTCTCTTTGTTTGGCTCTGGTTGCTGTTGCATCAGATTATTTAAATTTTGTATTTTTTCATTGTATCTTCTTAATGGTGACAATTTCATCGACAGCTGGCAACTCTTTTTCTTCATTCTTCAGTTATGCACAACGTTGGCAACAAGAAGTCTGAGATTTCCCACTGGGATTCGTGGAAGAGTACAGGGGGAGGGAAGAGGGAGGGTAGAGGCAAGTCAGGTTGGTTGGAAGTTGATGTAGAGTAGGCCGTAAATCCTACCAAGCGCTGACGCAGCACCGGCCATATCTCAAAAGTTATCCAATTTGTGTTAAAGTAGCATTCACCCGTTGGATATATCTCTCGTACCTATAACCCACCCATGTCTCTCCCGCAAACTGCATCTCGTTACCCTTGGAGCCCATCATTTTCAGCATCCAATTCCAACATACCACTGTTTCATTCAATAATCCAGAGTCAAATTTCTCGTGTGCAAAGATGTATTTTTACATTTGCCTTTCACTAATCTTTTGGAAATTATTTTTCTTACGTCGGATTCCTGATGCGGGGGGTTTAATCGTTTATTTACACTGAATGATGATGGATATTTCAAACATTTGGGGTGGAAAAACAACCGGATGACTGTGATAAATTCAGCCAAATGATTGCGCAACAGAAAGGACTGGGATTTTTTTTGATAAATTTAAGTTCTATTGCGGGCAGATGACATCATGCATTCCAGTGAGGAGAGTCCAATGAATTGATCTCAATAATTTTTTTTCTCCTATTGTAGTTCAGCGTACACAAGCCCACAGGCGTCGTACACGTCAATGAGCTCTCCTGGCCAGCAGCACGGTGGCCAACAGCTGCTTTTATTACAACAACAGCATAATCAAGCACAACAACAGCACGCCCAGCATCAGCAACAGGTACAAATGCACATGCAATATGTTCACACTCAGCATCAACAGATGCAAAATCAGCATCAACAGCAGCAGATGCAGTACAGAAGTCCAACGGGCGGTAGTCCACCGGCCATACAACAGAATCCACCGGTTGAAAACAATAATACGACAACGAGTGAGGACAGCGATGACAGTACACCACATTCGGCCATGGTAATTACCCAGATTTTGTTTTATTTAAGATCATGTGAGAATCAACTGATAAACACCGCTATTATCCAAGATAGTTCGTGCCTTCGAAGTTTGTAATTTGTGCAGTGATTATCTCTTAATTGTTTCCCTCGTATTGAGGCCAGAAAAGCCAATGGATGGCCTATAACATCCCTCTTTTCATTGGTTTATGCCTTAAAAACATCTAAGATTGGCCGAATGATAACTGGAGGACAATATAGCCATTATTATTGTTGGCAATGCACTTCGATTTGTACTTTTTCCGTCCATTAGATTGACGATCCTTCAATTTGTGTAGTTTAACTTAATTTATAAGGGATTATGACTACAGGATTAGATAGTTGTCCTGCAAAACTTGATCTTTACAATTTTTTGAAAATTCCCATCATTACTGTCAAAGAATTCCATTTCTGGAATTAAAAAAGCAGAAGTTGGGATGAAGATTGAGTGATCCCGAAGAGGGCTCCCAGTGGAGACCGAACCGAAGAATTCCATTTCTCCAATAAAAAAAATGCTAATAGGCTAATGAAACAACTCAACAATTCAACCGACTCGAGAAAAATTACAGATAATTATCGAAATTCCCTCTGATCCTTTGGAGTTTAATAATTCCCCAGCAACCAGACACAATAATTTGCCTCCATATGATTGACCAAAATCGGTTTCAATTACATCAGCACCGATTACCCACGCAATGCGTAATACCGTGATCACCAGTTAATGAAGGTCATGACCCAAACCACCCTGAAATAGACCCCGGAAAGTTCCAGGATAATTGCAACAAGCCTCAATAAACAACGTAAAATCAATCAAAATTGCACTTCACATTACTGAGAAATAATTTCTTTCTCCCCCGTAAGATTACTGGAATGAAGCGACCCTCACCCGAGCCCGTAGACACTGTTAATAAGGCACAGAAGAAGCCAAAGGCACAGAAGAAAAAGAAGAAGAGGGATCCAAATGAACCGCAGAAGTAAGTATTAACATTCCACCATTCTCCCTTCCATTCTACCAATTCCCATTCTTTTATTCGTTTTATTATTCATGCATAATAATGGCCAGTTTCTACATGTGTTACGATAATTGGAATATCGGATAATTTCCACTTATTGAGAAGCCCATCCCCGCCAGCCTTTTTCTTCTTATTTTCACTGCGATTTTTATCTCAGAGGGGGGAAAAGCATAAAGAAACAACTAACGAACAGAGCAGAATCACGAGTCAATTGTTTCGCTTTAATGGAATTACCGCATTTGCGAGGTACAAGAAGAATAGGATTCAAGTCTGGATGGAGAGAGGGATGAAGGGGGGGGAGAGCGGGGGGTTGGTACCAGTGCAAGAGAGGTGGCTTTAAGTTATTACTGCTGTGAATTGGCAATTACCGTTATTGTTGAAACCCTGTAAATGTAGGACATGGGGGTCCAGCTGCAGGAACAAGCGCACAGCATTACTCGGAAAATACGTTATACCAAATCCCAATGGTTAAGACAGAGAAAGACTGACAACACTGGCCATTATCTCGTGTCTATATACGTTATTATATTGTTATAATGTCGAAATAGTTGGTCCAGATTACAGACTATACAGTATTGCCACAAACGAGGTGGAATTAGTCGTTTCCAACAATTTCAAACTACATGCATAAGTCATTTTCATTATCTTTTGGATGGTTAGAGTAAATTGCATGTCTAGGTGAATTTTAAAATGATTGAAAACGATTGTGATAACTGACAGGGTAATCTCACACATTTGACGTGGGACATTCATCATATTCGGGGGGCGTGAAGGGGGGGGAGCAGTCGACCCCAATCGTAATTTCTACGTTATCGCGATTCACTCGATCGATCATTCTGCATTCGCGTGAATTAATATCGCGCAGCTGTTGGCGTCACTGTTTGTTTCGTGTTATTTTTCAATTTTTTTTTTTTTTTGAGAGAAGGCTTTTTAGGCATTAATGAGGCCGATGAACTCGTCGCACCAGAGTTTATTTTCAGATTGAGGATGTTATGGAGCATACGTTATCATTTTTGGATTTATTGTGAGGAGGAAAAGTTGAGTGATTGAAGGAAATGATTATTTGGATCCATTTTTTTTTTTTTTTTATTATGGATCGCGATAACTTTGGCCTTAATCCTTATCATGAGAGGGTTAGAATTTTGTGCTGTATTTCTAAGAAGAAATGTATGAGGATGAGAATAACAGGACGCTAGTAATTTTCAGGAGAGTGACAATAAATTTGATTTTGGGGGAAAAAACAGGAAATTTCAGGTTTCTCTAGAAATTCAATGAAATTCTGAATTTTAATTTAATTGAAGATTTAGTAATGTTTCTCTGCATTTTCATGGAATAATTGAACTGAAATTCACAATCATCATCGATTTTTCCCTAAAATATTGCATTTCTGATGACGGAATTTTTTGAAAGTTCAATTGTCCTAGAATGTCATAAAAATGTCAACAATTTTCACCCGCGATTATGAATCGCAATAATTTTGGCTTTAATCATTATCACGAGAGGGTTCGAATTTTGTGCTGTATTTCTAAGAATAAATGTATGAGGATGAGAATAACGAAACACTAGTAACTTTCAGGAGAGTGGTTTCTCTAGAAATTCAAAGAAATTTTAAATTTTAATTTAATTGAAAATTTAGTAATGTTTCCCTGAATTTTCATGGAATAATTGAACTGAAATTTACAATTATCATCGATTTTTCCCTAAAATATGGCATGTCTGATGACGGAATTTTTTGAAATTTCAATTGTCCTAGAATGTCATAATAATGTCAACAATTTTCACCCGCGATTATGGATCGCAATAATTTCGTTTCCAATCCTCATCATATCATTCATTATATTTTGTTTTTCTTAATTATGATCATCAGTTATAATCAGTTTGAAAGTCGTTAAATTTCCATCATCTCCAATTTAATCTCTCTTTTTTGTTAAATCATGAGGATATGAGAATTATATTAATGTTAATGCTCTCTGGTTGTCTAGGCCAGTGTCTGCATACGCCCTGTTCTTCCGTGACACCCAAGCAGCTATCAAAGGACAAAATCCCAATGCAAGTTTCGGTGAAGTATCGAAAATCGTCGCATCAATGTGGGACGCACTCGAGACAGAGCACAAAAATGTAAGTCACTGAATTTATTACGCTATTTGATCAATCATAATGAACTACGGCTGAGAGGCAAACTCTTGATTGCGAATTTAGTTAAGTGCAGATTGAGTAAATAGAGTGAATTAACTAGTCTGTTAAAGCACACCGTCGTGCAATGAATCCGTTATGGAGGATCGCTTTTCCAACGGCATAACGTTATCCCCCACATACACCCACCCACCACCCCATAGTGTAAATAACGATGGCAATGTTGGGCGGTTGGGATTCTACGAGATAACGCACGCATTAATAATTGGTAATTAGATTTGGCTGAAGTTATGGCTGAATATCGTAAATGTTGGTGAACGTATGCAATCATCGTTGGGTATCTTCATTTTCCCGTGATTTATTCGGGGATTTAATATTCCTATTTCTTCTAAAAGGAAGAATAACGGTTTTTTTTTCTTGAATTGACGTTGAATGCCATTTAGAGGAGAAAAAAGTCATAAAAATTTTAATTCACTGAAAATTTTGTGAAATTGCAAATCTTTTTGCAGCAGGAAAACTAGATTCTCCAAATTATGTTGAATTCTCAGTTAATTAAAAATTCAAGAATATATAGATAACGCACATATTAATAATTGGTAATTAGATTTGGCTGAAGTTATGGCTGAATATCGTAAATGTTGGTGAACGTATGCAATCATCGTTGGGTATCTTCATTTTCCCGTGATTTATTCGGGGATTTAATATTCCTATTTCTTCTAAAAGGAAGAATAACGGTTTTTTTTTCTTGAATTGACGTTGAATGCCATTTAGAGGAGAAAAAAGTCATAAAAATTTTAATTCACTGAAAATTCAGTGAAATTACAAACCTTTTTGCAGCAAAAAGACTAGAATTCTCCAAATTGCGTTGAATTTTCAGTTGAGTAAAAATTCAAAAATATGATCACGTAAATTTTCCAGATTTCTATCAATTATCGTGAAATAATTGAACTGAAATTTCAAGTTCCCATTGATTTTTTCATAAAATTTTGCATTATCAATGACGACATTCCCGGAAATTGCAATGGACCTATAATACAATAAAAACGTCATCATCGCAGTTGATGGTTTTATCAGCCATTCAATTGAATAACGCATAAAACTCAATACCCACACAAAAACTTTCAATAAAAAAAGTAATGAAAAAAAGTACACTTCAGTGAGTAATTTGCGTAAATTTTTCCATCATACGAATAATAACTCGGAAAAGAGAGAGATAGAGAAAAAAAAAGATAATTAATTTTGTTCCTTGAAATTGGAATTTAAATTGAATTTCATTCAGACTAAAATTGACGTTTCGAGAGATAGATGGAACGATAATTACATTCCTTCATAACTCTTTCATCATTATTATTGAAGAGAATGCTCCTTCTGCCATCGGTGAAATTTAATCGATGGAATAGGGGATCCTCAAACATCTGAAGATCCTTCCCAAAAATACTGCAATCTGTAAAATGTAATTAAAACCGAGTCTCACTTAATTATCAAAATTATGCATGCTCATATATGTTCAACAGTTATACCCAGTGGCCACTGCAGTTCATATCGTTAATTCAATTAGGGGCTTATCTCGATCCTCTGGACTTGCACAGTTTCACCAGTCGCGGGGGAGAGGGGGGGGGAGGAGGGAATA